GGGGCGGGGGGGGGGATGAATATCCAGTTTTACCAGCAGCATTTATTAAAGAGACACTCTCTTCTTCATTCAATGGATTTGGGTTTTCTGTCAAAAATCAACTGTCCATAGTTAAATGGATTTGTGTCTGAGTTCTCAATTCGGTTTCATTGCTTTGTGCTGTCTGTTATACCAGACTGTTGTGACCACCGTGGCTGGATAATAGGTATGGAGAGTGGGCACTATGAGGCCGCCTTCTTTGTTCTTTAGCAGTGCTTTGTTTATGCAGGTCCCTTTCCTTTCCTAATAAAGTTGATTAGGTTTTCTATCTGGATAAATAATGTTGACAGAATCTGAATTGGGATTGCCTTCTATCTGCAGGTCACTCTGGGTAGCATTGACACTTTCACACGTAAGTCTTCCTATCTCTGAGCAGAGTATGTTCTTCCGTCCACACGGGTCTCTGTGGGGTCCTTGCAGCAGAGTTTTGTATTTGTCTTTGTGCGTGCCTTTTGTATCTCTGGTGAGGTTTATTTTGTCAGTGTCTGTGTGTGGAGAATAATGCTGCCTGTTGTTCTTTTCAGTTTTATTTTCTTATCTTCATAAATATTATATAACCAGCTACTTTCAATGTTAACTCACAGTGACCTCCATGTGTGTTATGGTAGAACTGGGCTTTTTAGGATTTTTTAGGGGGGGGGTGAGTGGGAGTAGATTGCCAGGGTTTTCTTCCAAGGTACCTCTCTGTGGACTTGACCTCCAACCTTTTGGTTAGCCGCTGAATATGTTACCAATTTTGCATAACCTTCAGACTCCTGGAAGGTAGGAATAAAGGGCCCACTCTGCCGACTCACATGCTAGGGGCCGCTCTTCCCAGCATGCCATTCTCACAAACTCACGCTCGAGTTTCCGTCAAACTCTTGAAAACATCCTCAGAAAGCTCAGGAATCCCACAGCAGAGTAAGCAAAACCCTGCTCCTAATCCTGCATGAATGAACGCCGTCCCTGCCGCCTGGGCTGGATAGTCAGGTCATTTCCATAAATGCTGGGCAGCTTTGCACAAGGGCACAGAGGGATAATCTTGCTCCCAAATGCTCTTATTTCCTTTTTAAAATGTTCCCTGCCAGAAAGGAGCATTTGAAGGTGGGGAGAGGCAAAATCAGTGCATTCGATTTAATGTGGACTCATCCTGGCAACCAGAGGGATAAATAGTCACATTTCAAGTCAGCGCCAAGCCAGCAGCTGCAGGAAGTTGATAAGGATGCAGCAGACGGGGTCAGGAACAGAGGGTGCACACGCTTGAAGCTTCTGGACGGCTTGGGTTTTAGCCAGAGAAGGAAGCACTTCCTTCTGCCTTTTTACCCTCCGGTGCCTTTTGCACTCTTCGCTGAGTGTTACAGAGTTGCAGAGGGATTTCTGGCCAGTCCCGGAGCACTGCTACAACTTTACACATCACATCGTTCTCTGTGGGTAGCCCTGACAGCCTCCTGCACACTCCCGCCTCCCAGCTGTGGCGGGAACAGACTGGTGCTCTGTGCACTCTTGGGGGAGGAGGGCACAGCTCCTGCTCTGACCGCTCTGTGCCCTGGCCTGCTTGTTGAATGATCTCACAGGGGTTGAGAACGACAGTGCGGTCTTGGTGCAGAGGCCCCTGGAAGCCAGGGAGAAGGCTCTCCCATGTTCCAGCTCTCCATCAGCTCCTCTCTTGTCCCACCCCGGGCCCCTGGGAAAACCACCCGCATCAGAAGAAACACATGTGGGGAGACATGTTCCAGGCCCCGGTGGCAGAACATACCAAGGGGTGATCAGGAAGGGGACCAGAGGTTATATCTGCAGCGCCAACCCGGAAGGTGACGGGATGGAGGACATGGGTGTATGGAACAGCTGCTGTTGTCCCATAGTCCCACCGGATGGCGTGAAGCCATGCTGCACATCCAAGATGGCTCTGGGGAGTGGAACCCACTGGCCACCTAGGAGGGCTCCCTCCTGCTGGCCTCCCCATTGCAAGACCCCCTGGTTCCTGCCCTGCACCACTACAAGCCCTCTGGGGAGGCAGATCTGGGCTTCAAGAAGGAGCCTCAGCTCCACATGTTGGAGCGATAGGGTGACTGGTGGAAAAGTGGAGTCCCTGAGCACAGGCCGGAAAGGCTTCATCCCTTCAACATCATGACCAAAGCAAACAGCCTGGAGCCCGAGCTGTGGTTTTCCAAGAGCCTGGCAGGCGTGGATGCCAAACAGCAAGCACTGTGGTCAGGGAGCAAGAGCAGCGTGGGACCGTCTTCACGCTCGCTCTGCAACGTTGACCAAGACCAGGGAGAGGTGGTGAAACACTGCCAGGTCTGTGCCTGGAAGATGGTGGTTTCTGCAAGCCCACCCGACACCATCAGTTTCGCCGGCGTGCATGAATTGATCCTCCTTGAACACCAATGCTTTGGTGGGGGGATCCAGAGGAGACCCACCCCTGCCAGCCCCAGGAGCCTCGGTGTCTGACACCCTGAACTGTAGCACTGCAGCCTTTGACCTCAGACGTCTCACTGAGGACCATGAATACACAACCAGGGAGGGCGCCTAGTCACCCATCAAGTGGGCAGCACCCGGCACCATACCAAGGGGACATTTGCCATCAAATCAGATGTATGGTCTTTGGGGATCCTGAGCTCGTCACCCATGGCCGGATCTCCTACCCAGGGGTGCAAATCCCAAGGTGACTGAGAACCTGGAGCAATGTGATGACCATCCCAAGAAGCCGTACGACCTCATGATGCTGAGCTCGAAGGGGCGCCCCAAATCGGGCCACCTTGACCACCTGTGCAGTGTGGCGAGGACTGCCTCCCACCACGATTCCAGCCCCCACCTGGATGGGCTAGTGGCCTGGGGGTCCAGAGCCCTCCCCACATCTAGGCACGGGCACCGCTCAGCCTGAGGTGGCAGGTGGAGTTCCAACGCTCTGCTCACTCGGCCTGTGTACATACGCAAGGGCTATGCACATGCATCCTGTCCATGTGCAACACGCACACACCTTGGCTTTTTATACACATTCCATGCTTGTGTGAGCGCTTCCCACGGGCCTTGTCCAGGTGAGGCCTGCGCACGCACGTCCCTTTCTGGGCTCTCCTTTCTGAGGCCACGGAAGAAAAGACCGATGCTGGTGGCTGGCATGAGCTTCGGAACCCACCCGTCTCCTCTCCCAAGTCATCCAGGAGCTCCCCTGGGGCCGGGACCTGGTGTGATCTGCCGAGGGCTGTCTGAGGTGCCTGCAGCAGGAGCTCAGTACACACCAGTTGGTTGGGGGGAAAAAACAAAAATGAGGATGATAAAGTTTACTTTCTGAACTGAGGGAAACTGAGAACCGAGAAGAGAGTGTGTGCAGACAGACAGATTCTCTGTGCTCATATTTCAGCATCCTGGGAGGCAGACTCCTGGAGGGAAGCAGTTGGAGGTGCATCCCGGGCACAGACGCCTAACTAAAAGTTGCTGTAATAATGCCAATTTTAAGATGCTGCTTGCAAGCACAGGGCTGCTGCTGTGTATGCTCGGAGGTGAACTGCCCGAAGATTAAAGGCTGCCTGTCAACAAGTGCGATTACACCACCCCATCCTCAGCACTGCCCGGGCCCTTCCGATAAGGACCATAGATCGTTCCCCTGGAGAAGAGCTGAGGGACCCCTGAAGTCAAGTCAGCTCAGGGACAGCTAAGGTTAGACCCCCACCTTATTTCTAGGTTCTGCCCACCTTACTATGTGCCTTCCTGTCACGCGTTATGTGTCCACTACCTCCCTTTTCTGTTACGTGAATGCCCCTAGCACGTCCCCTTCCTGTTACGTGTGTGGGTGATGTGGCCGGTGTGCCTGAGATTATATAAGCCTGTGAGAGAATATTCACACACCCCCTCTCTTGATCCTGCCATGGAAGAGGTGAGCACGTGCAGGCCTTGGCCAATGTTTCTTAATTTACCCTTCAATTACACAACCTCCCCTAAGAGGGTGGTCCCCCGACACTGAACCTACCCAGAAGGCAGTTCAAACCCACCAGCTTCTGAGAAAGATCAGGCTTTCTACTCCCATAAGGATTGGAAGTCTCAGGAGCCCAAGTGAGCAGCTCTTCTTGGCTCCTTGGGGTCACGATAAGTCAGAAGCCACTCCGTGGCCACGAGGTTTGGTGGTGGGTTTTTCAAATTTTTGGTCTGAAGCTGCCCACTGGGGCTCCAGAGGCGTTGTGCAATGGGGAGCGCAGGGCTGCGTGGGGTTCTTGGGTGAACAGTTAGGCCTGATGCCAGGCAAGCATGGTGATCTGAACCTTCCAGAGGTGCCTCAGCTGACAGGCTGGGGGGCCCACTTCTAACACACACAGGTGGCCCTGAGCTGGCACCGTTTCGGCAGCAGTGGACAGCAGCAGAAAGGGCGTATGGCCATCACAGCTAGAACAGTGCTGTGAGCTGCCTTCGCATCCACTCTCGCCCCCGGTGACGTTAACAGAGGGAGGCGGTGCCTGGTCCTCTACCATTCTCTGCGATGGGATGGCTGGAGGGTCCACCAGGACAGCTCTGCAGTTATTCTAATACGCTATCAGATGACAAGACAATGTCCCGAGGGTCAGCTAACTTTGTAAACTCTGTACAAAGATACCATTTACGCCGGGGCTAGGGTGGGATAAGGCCCGAGTTTCATGAACCTTCCGCCTTGCAAGTCAATGCCAAGGCCACGACTCAAGGCTTAGCTCAAGGACCAAAACGCAAACCCACACCCACTGCCGTCAGGGTGAGTTCCACCCATAGCAACCCTAGAAGACAGAGTAGAACTGCCCTGGGGGTTCCCGAGACCAGTCATCACAGGCCTCTCCCCCCCACCCCCCACCCCACTCCACCCCCGCCTCCACCTGACCCACTTCCCCCTGAATGGCTGCTGGGTTCAAACTGCTGACCTTGCAGCGATAACCCACCACAGGTCACAGGGGCACGTCGCCCACAAGAGGGCAGTGTTGCCTGAGCGAGGGAAAAGCAGACTCCAGTCAGGGTCACAGCCGTATTTTGAACATAATTTACTACAGGTCTCTGAAGTGTATATAAAACATTTTAGTGCAACATCTTACAAATAGTTTGTTTTTGTTTTTTTTTAAAAAACAACAATCCAGAAACAAAACCAACACAACAGCTCTCTACATCATGCATGGTATCGCCATCTCCTCCCACCTCCCTTGCCTTTTTCCTACTGAACCATTAACGCAGAGAAACCATTGTTGGAAAAGAATACGAAAACTTTGTACAGACACACCCTGGTGAAAGAGGGTGACGGAGTCAGATCCATGTCTTGGAATGGGCCTGGCACAGTGTGGGCTTTATAAATGCAACACAGCATAGACGTCATTAAGTGGATGGAGCAGGTCGGTCATGCTCCACTTCTCCCTCGGCCCCAGAGGACAGAGCTCCGTGGGCAGTTGCAATGAGATCCCGCAGCCACCGGAGGGCACCATTGCCATTCATCTGACACACGATTGCCATTCTCAAGGCCAAAGAAAGGTGGCCTGGGATTTTTTTTCATGATGTGATATTCCCCAGTCCGATAGAAAATACACAGAAAAACAAAATAACAATTATTAAAATACTGGCTTCAGTTTCTTCTTCTTTTTTCCTCCCTTCCTAAAGTCCCGCAGCCCCTGTGTAGTATGTTTCCCGGGGGGAGGAGGGGGGCTCCCTTTTGTGCATCTGTGAGCGACACAAAGGCAAGCCCAGCCCAATCTGGCCCTCGGGCACCCATCCTGCCCCTCAGACAGACTCCGTCCAAAAAGGAAGGGCCAGCTCGTCCTCCCTGGAAACCCACACCCTGCGAGGCAGAGAGGGGACACAAGACCGCTCCCCTCTCTCAGGGGTGTGCCCCCTGCAGCTGCAGTGTGCTGGCCTTGCGGTGGCTGTCTCCGAGCAGCAGGCAGAGAGGCCAGGCTGCAGGAGCCTGTCAGACACAGGTGGTCGGCTAACCACCCAGCGTCCCCTCCGCGGTGGGCTCAGTGGACAAAGCGGACCCCTCGATAGGGTCAGAGGGCTCCTGATGGCACCAACGGTGGCGTGTGGGGCTGCTAACGGAAAGGTTACAAGTTCGGGCCCACTCAGTGGCTCCTCGTCTAACGATGGAACTTAGAACTCCACGGTCACACTGAACAGCACCAGCGCCAGCGCCAGGGCCCACCGGGCCGCGGAGACCCGCCGCTCCCGGGCTCCACGCAGATGCACGTGGGCGCGAGGGCATGGAGCTGCATCGCACGGCCAACAGCCCACATGGCTCCCGGCGGTCAGTGTGAAATGGCCCGGTGGGCTGGCAGCACTGGCCCCCGCTGGGCTCCAGGGCCACTAAAATGAACCGCCATCCCCATAGCAACGGAGAACCTCGTAACCTGAAACCATGCGAAAGTTGCCAGGGGGAGGGGGGAAAGGCCCACAGGCGCAGCCACGCGGCCACTTTCTGTGGCATGGCCATCGATGGGAAGGACGATGGCGGGCGTGTCTGGCCCTCCCGAGCCCACGGCGATGGCAGAGATGGTGGTGAGATGGGCCGGGTATGGGGATGAGGACGGCGGAAGGTGCTCATGTTTCTGGGAGAATCTAACTGGGAGGAGAAAGCAAAGCCTGGTCTTTGTAGCCCCAGGGAGGTGGTGACCCCTCCCTACGCTCCTCAGCCGGGCCTGAACACCCTCTCTTGCTCATCCCCACTACCCTCTTCTTCGCACGGAGTGGCAGGCATCCGGGGTCGCCACTTCTGCCCCGTGTGGTCAGCTCAGCACTGCCCCATGTCTAGCTCAGTGCACACGCCACCCCCCGACCCCAAGTGTTTGACAAAGCACCAGAAGCCCAAGGCCCCCTCCCCACCGTATCCGACTGCCTCGCAGAGCCAGTCCAACCAACGCCGGCCATTCCTCTCTCCTTCCCGCAGCCCTGGGCTCTGACGGATCACAACGGCGGGAGCTGCTCAACGCAGGCCTCTGCCCACATTAGTGTGCCGAGGGTGGGTGGTCTGGAGCTTCCGGCCTATTCCCTCCTGGAGAATGTTTTTCTTATTGTTTAGGCAAGGTGAGGGGTACAGCTGCTTCTGCCTGCGTGGCAGCTGGACCACCCAGCACCACCCGCTCCTCCTGGGGTCCCGCAGAACTCCTCCGGTCCGGATGGGTCTCTCCGGAGCCAGAGTCCCTGCTTGCGTCACAGCGGTCCCAACAACGCCGGCCGGGACAACACTAAGCTACAAACGGGCCCACAGGACACACCAGAGTTTTAAAGTCCCATTACGAAAAGTAAGTTTAAAACAAAAAAAGGAAAAGAGTGAAAAGAAAACACATTGGGGTGTGTTTGGCTCCGGGGGTGGCCTTTAGAAGTGTTCAAACTGCCAAGGTCTCGGCAGTGCTTCCTTGTCGCCGTTGAATCCGTCCTCCGGGCCGCGGTCGGCGTGTACGGAACAGACTGTCCACCGCATGACGGCGGTGGCGGCATCCAAAGGGGCGGCCTCGAGCCGTACGGAGTGCATGAGAAAGAACAAGACCCCTGTGACATCTAGCGGAGAAGACTACAGACCTCCATGAGCAGACACGGCACCTGGAGCTACTCACTACAGGACCCAGGCGACAGGAACGAGAAATGGATGGTCGCGCAGCCTCGCAGCTGGGCACCAGGAGCTAACCAGCCGAGGCCGACAGCGGAGGGCGACGGCAGCCATCTCTGTGACTCAGCGGGAACGGCTAGCACCCCTCGCCTGAGTCTGGCCGTCTTCTCTCGGGCATCCCCGAGTTTGGGGGCTGCAACGGTCCAATCACAGAGAGAGAGGTGGCGAGGGCACGTCCCAGCTCCTCTGGGGCCAAACGTCCCGGGCGCTTCCTGCTTAGTCTATGGCCCCGGGGTGGATGCTCAGCACTGGGGGCTCCAGGCAGGTGGGGGAGTAGTTGAGGTGCGGCTCCTTGATCCACAGCAGGGGCACCCCGTTCTTCCCGTCCGAGTTCTTGCTGGAGTTCCGGCTCTTGAAGCGCACCAGCAGAATGGTGATGACGAGGATGCCGAAGATGGGGAAGGGGTAGAAGAAGATGAAGTAGAAGAGGGCGTCGTTGGAGCAAATGACGGACTGGAGGCTGGAGCCTGCAAAGGGCGGGGGTGGGGGTGGGGGTGGGCAGAGAAGATAATGAGGCCAGAGAAACTGCTAGTCCCTGCAGACCTCACCTAGCCCAGTGGAGGCCGCGTGCAGAACCCCTGCACCCACCCTCTCTGGTGGTGGGGGTGGGGTCCTACTGCCACCAATGACCAGGCCTCCCATCCTCACCCCCGCCCCCTCCCCATTCACACAAACCCAAACCCAACAGGCAACGCCAGGTCTCCACTTCCCGCGGAGCCGCTAGGACCACTGGGACCGGCACAGAATGACACAGTGCGTGCGCCACACTCAAAGGAAGCCGATGATAGTTTAGCCTGGACCTCCTGCGCCACACAGTGAGATTTGGGGCTCCCCTCGGCACTCAGCCTCGCTACGGATAGCCTCCTTTGGGGAAATGGCACACGTACCCCACTCCCTCTGCCTCTGTTCCCCACCTCCGCCCTAGCTTCTCAGAGCAGTCCTCCTGAAGTGGCGGTGTCATGACTGATGGTGTCCATAAGATGTCACCGGTGACCACTGTCTGGGAGCTACAGAGAGCCTGCCTGCCCCTGCACCCAAAGGAGGAGGGGGCAGAGCCCCAGCATTTGCAGATCCAGCCCGGGGAGCTCTATGGCCTGCCTGCTGGAGACCCTGGCCTGAGGGATGCAACAACGGCAGGCCTTACCTCTGGACATCAAGGCCACTCGGGTCTCGGTGTTCTCTCTAGCTTGGAAAGACAGGCGCCCCGCAGGAGCAGAGAAAACGCAGCCCGGACCCCTTCCCTCTGACTCTGTTTTAGGTTCGGCCACTCAGCAGATCGTTAGGGAGCGTGTGCCCCCATGGCTTTGCTGTCTCGCCCTTGCTGCCGTGGCAGCTGCTGCCCCTCACCCGCAGGGAACGGAACCCTTCACATCGCTCTGCTTACGCTATGGAGGCTGTCTACACAAGTTCTACAACATCTGGGCTCAAAGAAGAGGACAGTTCTAGCCGTTATCATAAAAGGACATATTTTTTTGCATCATGGACTAATTCTATTATAAGAAGTGCCCCTGAGCCTGACATAGAAAGCCAGCCCTGAAGGTGCCGGGTTAAAACAGGTTCTCCAGGCCAGCAAGGATTCCCAGCAGCCCCTGCTCCGAGCCAAAGCTCCGGAGGCTCTCCAATGGAAACGCTGAGTTCTGGGCCTTCAGGTGGCAGAAGTGATGGCCCGCTGGGTTACAGCCACCCCCCCACCCCACCCCATAACATGGGTGCTCTCCTGTGATGGTCCACCACTGGCCATGCACACCCCACCGACACCCCAAAAGTCACGCTCCCAAACAAGTACAGGGTGTGGCGAGCCAGGAGTGCCACGCGGGTGGGGCAGTCGGATTTCCGTTCCCCGCCTTCCTTTGCATGAGTCTGGAACACTTGGCTGATTGCCTAAGGATGGTCTAGTGTAGCTTCCACAACCAGGGAGGAGCCAAGTGCTTCCAGAAGGAAGTCTGCCTGCAGAAGAATCTGTACCAGCACCTCACTGATGATCAAGATGACAACACCCATCAGCATTCCCACCCCGATTTGGTGTGGGCAACCATGGTCGATGATCTGAATGGAACGGGTGTGTCCAACCCTCCTATTAACTGCCAGGCACAGCTAACACACTGCTCATCAGCCCAGAATCAGATTCTGGGCCCATCTCCCACACACACCCAGGATGAACAGGGCACCCTTTCTTCCCACACGGGGACACTCACTGGTATCCAGGACCCGGATGCCGATGGGCGCCGATTCCTCCTCCGTCAGTCGGTACCACTCTCTCTGAGGGCTGGGCAGCCACTCCTCCACGCGGCAGGAGTAGTTGCCCGTGTCTCGGGGGCTCGCCTGCAGCACCGTCAGCCGGTACAGCAGGGGGGACAGCCTCTGGAAGCGAAGCCTGCCCTCCCAGGGGCTGCCCTCAGGGCCAAAGACAGCATCAGGGCCCACACTCAGCAGGGGCGTCCGCTCCATTAGGTCCTCCTCCTCTTCCTCCTCCTCCTCATCCTCGTCCTCCTCCTCCTCCTCCTCCTCTCCCAGGCCCGGGCTGTCCCTTTTCCCTCCAGCTTTAGTCCTCAGGGAGTACCAGACCACAGCGAAGCGGGAGTCCTGGCTGGAGCGAGACACGATGCTGCAGTCTAGCTGGAAGGCAGCCTTCTCGGTCACTGTGGCGTTGGGCACTACCGAGTCCACCTGCAGGGCGGCATCTGGGGGGAGGAGGGACGGAGGAGGGGGGAAAGGCTGATTAATTTCCTTCCTTAAGATAACCGAAATGCTCATTAAAAAAACAACCCGAACTACTCAAAAGCAAACTCACTGCTATTGACTCAATTCCAACTCAACAGGATGGGGTAGGATTGCCCCATGTAGGTTTCCGAGGCTGGAGCGGGAGTAGAAAGCCTCATCTTTCTCCCACGGAGCGGCTGGTGGTTGAGAACTGCTGGCCTTGTGGTGAGCAGCCCAACACCCATAACCCCTATGCCACATTATAGCAATACCCACACAATGGATTATTGTGTACTCATGGAAAAGAACATGGGTGGGCATCGGAGGGTCAGTGGTAGAATTCTCACCTTCCATGGAGGCCCATGACTCCTGGTCAAGACACTACATACACGGTCACTCTCTGTCTGTGCATGCGGCGTTGTGTGTGGCTGTGGTGCCACGCAGGTTTCAGCAGAGCTTCCCACCAGGGAAGCAGCCCTGGTGGTGCAATGGTTAAGCATTCGCCCACCGGCTAACTGAAAGGTAGGTGGGTGGGATGGTGCAGGGCAGGGGATTGACTGTGCTGGAGGGCAGAGGAGGGCAGGTGACTCAAATGCCCCCTGTCTTCCCTCACCACTTATCCATCCCCCCAAGACATCAGAAGCCATACAACAGACTGGTGGGGTGTAGCATGCTTTCTGTCCAGCCGTCTAAAGCAGTGTCCCAGAGCTCCTGGTGACAAGCTGAGGTGCCGGCAAAGCAGATCAGAGTTGGGTGATCGGATGGACCCCATCACGGTGAGTTGGTACGATGGTGGGGGACCGCACCAGACACGGTCCCCCAGACAAGCCTCTCCCTTGACTTTCTCTCCTCCATCCACCTCCCACGAACCCTGTCTGCATTCCTTTCAAATCCAAGGGGTTTCTCCCTCGCCTTTTAAATGAAAATAAGGTCTACTTTCCCGCAATCTCCCTCAGCCACACACTCTTAGCATGTTTACCCCAAGTCTGCCCCCTTCTGGAAGGGGCAAGTGTCCTCCTGTTCGGAGGCTAACACCTTTTCCTTCCCCAAGTGTGAGTCACAAGAATGCTCCCGCCCGCCTCTCCTGCCTCCACGGGAAAGGGGTGCCCCCGCCCCATGGTTACCCTGACAGCAGCTTCAGGGTCTGAGCGTGACCACGGGGCTGCTCCCTCTCAGCCGCTAGTGTACACAGTCTCACTGCGGGGAGGAGCCCTACGCCCACACGCTCTGTGCCTGACTCCACAGGAAGCGATCGTCTTCCTAACAGAATTCTTGGAGCTGTGATTCAAGTCTTCTTCTCCAGTCTACCTCGAGGGGGGGGGGGTCTCTTTGATAGTGCATGCCAACAGTGCACAGCACACAAGTGAAAGAGACAAAACATGCTGCCAGATGACGCCCGTCCTGACCGACAGCAACCCCCCCGGGGCAGAGTAGGCTCCCGCGGCCGTCATCTTTATAGATCACACAGAGAGAAGCTGCTGGTGGGCATGGGCCACCCACCTTTCAGTTAGCCGGTGGGCGAACACTTAACCACTGAACCACCAGGGCTGCTTCCCTGGCAAAAAAGTTGGTGATGTCGTGCTTTGAATGATATGAGAACATGCTTGCGCAGTGTTGAGTGGGGGTGGGTGGGGAGAAATCATATAAAGTACTTGTGGCTCAAGCCCAGCCCCTGCTCCACAGGAGAAAGATGAGGCAGTCTGCTCCTATAACCATGTACGGCCCAGGAAGCCCTATGGAGGTGCAGTGGGTTGGAATGGACTGGATGGCCGTGTTTGGTGGCTTGATTTTTAACCATTTATACACGTACACACAGAGAATACGGGTAGGCCCTGCAGAGGCCATAGACCAGTCATCCAGTTACTAATGGTGTCTATTTGTGGACATGAGATATTTGTGGACATGAGATTATGGATAAAAATTCTTTTCAGTACTCTTTTCTGTTTTCCAAGTGCTTGGTCATCAGCATGATCAACTCACACAATTCAAAAATACACGAGGAAGGGCTAATAGCTAGACATGTCCAGCCTAGCTCATGTGGCTGCACAGGACAGTCAGGCATACTGGTTTAAGGGCCATGGTGTGGCCAAGAAGGTAACTTGGGTGATTGTGCCCATCATTACTGTGTCAACTAGATTAGGCCAGAATTCAAGGTTGTTAGGCAGTTAAAACCTAGTAATCCCCCAAGATGTGATCTTACACAGTGTAATCACCTACCTAATGCTCTGAACCGCCAATCAGTTGTAAGATGATGAGGGTGTGATAAAACACCCTTACTCCGATCACAGTACTGATCCATTCAATTGAAAGTTAAGTTTCCTGGCCTGCTGCCCATAGAAATGGATGCGGTGGAAAGCTTGCTTGCTGTTCACTTGGTCTAGATCCTGCATCTGGTTCTCTGGACTTGAACGAATGCCTGCCACATTGCCCTTGGATCCTGGGAGTTGTCAGCAGCCTCTACCTGACATGCTGGTCTCAGATTCATTCACTTCTACAGCCACCAGCCTGTGGTCTTTCTGCCAATCTTGGGTTCATTAGTTCCAACAGTTACTTATGTCAGGGGAAGCCTAACATCTTACCCACTGATTTGGAACTTGCCCATGACTACCGCTGTGTGAGTCATCGTCCTGATAGAAGTTTCTCTCTCGAGAACCCAGCCTGAGGCACCAGCTGCGTGCCACTCCCTCTTTGAGTTCCATTCCCCATCAGGCTGCTGTGCGAATGGATGACAGGGCTCTCAACTCTGTCTAGTGATCCACAACATGGGTGGGAGCTGAGGAGGAGGAGGCTCACGGACCACATCTCTACCATTTTACCTTTAGGGCAGGTGGGGAGCAGCAGTTTGTAGACAAGATGGAAGCATTTTTAAATAGCCAACTGCACCAAGGCCATGGAGGTCTTACAGTGTCTGTTGAGCTCATGAGAAAGATGAGGAGCTGTAACTGGAGTAGAGGGATTTCCCCTCCGGTTGAAGTAGGACCCCGGGGACCGAGGTAATGCCCCTTTCCCATCCCCGATGGTGCATTTTCCTCTCTGAGGGGAAACTTTCTCCTCCCTGAGGCCGCATGGTGGGAAGAGACGGCAGAGTCTGAACTGCTCAAATGCACAGCATCACGAAGTATTCTAACGGTACCAAGGGCAACACGTTGAACTTCAGGATGCTCAGGGGAGGAGAGAGAGTCCACGGTGATGTAGGCCACAGATTCATCCATGCTGTGTCCCAAGTGAGGCTTTTCGGCTCAATGAAGGACAAGCCACTGGTGTGGCCAAGCTGGGAATGAGGGACACCAGAATCCCCCAGCCTCGCTTTGAACCACACGTCTGCCTGCACGGTGGCCACCAGAGCCGTTCCAAGCATGTGGAACACAATAAGGACATGCCAGGGTCACCTGGTCACCAGCACCCCTGGAACTGTGCAGAGGCATGAGAGAGTGAAGCTTCAGATACACCTTTTCTCCCTCTCTCTCTCTTCTCTTTATTTAGAGCATGCGAATCAATTCTTTTCCACTGAAGCCAGTTCAATTTTTAGAACCAAAGTGTCCTTTTGCTATAACCATCACACGCCCACATCAGGATGCAGTTTGAAAAAGAACCTCTTCCATGCTCTGGAAGGAATAAGGAGCCAGGGTGGTGCAGGGGTCTAAAGTGCTCAGCTTTGAGCTGACAGGTTGGTGGTTCAAACCGACCAGCTGCTCAGTGGGGAAAATGAGGCCGTGTGAATCCATAAAGAGTTACAGCCTCAGACACCTGAAGGAGCTATTCTGCTCTGCCCAGGAGGCTCCCTATGAGTTAGGATCAAGTGGACAGCAGTTGGTTTCGTGTGCGTGTGTGCGTGTGCGTGTGTGTGTAATAAGCCTCCAGATTTTACTCGTGTCAAGAAACAGAATCTCCTTAGGTCAAAGGTGGATGTGCATTTTTTTATTCACTATGACTCTCACTGCCATTACGACTCCTAGGTCAGGACAGAGTTGCCCTGGTGGGTTTATGAGACGGTGGGTCCTCCTTGGCAGAGCAAGTGAACGGCTGCCCATGCATTTGGCAGCTCAACGTGTAACCTCGAGGTGACCAGGGCTCCTCCTCTTCATTCACAAAGGGGGTGGGGACGGAGACCACTTTGAACGCAAATGTCAAACGTCAGCGTCCCTGCTCCTGATACAGAACTCAATGCAAAGAAGTCACTAGTTCTTTCAAGGCTAACTTGCTGTGGAGGGCTGCTGCCACGGCGCCAGTCCGTGTGGCTCAGAGAGCGCTGAGCTCCTCGGGGTTCCGGGGGCTGGCTTTTCAGGTCACCAGGGGTTTCCTCTGAGGTGCCTCTGCGCAGACTCGAACTTCCAAACGCCCGGTCAGTGGGCAGGTTTGGACCATGCAGCCTACTGACTCTGGTTCACAGCGACCCGACGGGACGGAGCAGACCTGCCCCCAAGGAGCTTCCTCCTAGGCGTCCATCTTTACAGAAGCAGGCTGCCTGCCTCCTCTTGGTTAGCAGCTAAGCACTCAGCCCCTGTGCCACTGGGGACGCTCCCACACCCAGAGACGCTCAGTGCACACACTGTCGTTTTTACCCGGGGTATAAAATATGACCCCAAATGTGGAAATACTCAGGGGACCATAGTCCTCACCTGGTCGCACCACAGTGACGGCCGTCTGTCCCGAAGTGTCCTCAGCCCGTTTATACCACAGGCCGCTGGGGCTGGGCAGCCACTCCTCCACGCGGCAGCTGTACGTCCCGCTGTCCTGCACGGCCACGTTCTGGATGGAGAGCCGGTACACGCCAGCGGACGGGCTCTCCAAATGCAGCCGCCCCTTCAGGTTGTTCTTGGCGGCCTGCTCGCCGTAGTGGAAGGTGGCCTCCCGGCCCAGGCGCGCCACCGTCTCCCGCTCGGGGTGGTTGGGCTTCCACACAAACCACTCCACCAGGAGCTGGGAGGCGGCGCTGGTGCGGTTCAGGACCGAGCACTCGAGCTGCACCTGCTGGGTCTCCAGCACCGACAGGTTGCCCTGGGCCTGGCTGAGCTTCAGGCGGCTGTCTGAACAGGGAAGAGCAAAGGGTCAGTCACAGCACACCCTGCCCCACCCTTCTGACACCGAGGGACCCACCGCAGCCCAGACTCACTCAGACGCCGCAGCCTAACCACTCGCAGTCCCAGGACCACTCCGGAACGCGCAGCTTTTAGGGAGCTCAATGTTAGGGAGGGTGATGCTGTCCCCAGGCCACAAGCCGTCTCTGTTCAGACACTCGTGCAGAACAAGCTGGGCCTGTGTGTTCCTGCGCATCCCAAGGGCAACAGACCCTGGTGCCCGGGGCTGACTGGTGGAGGCGGGGGCCAGGGGAGGGGAGATGTGAGGATGGTGGATGTGGGGTGCAGGGGTGGACGTGGGGGTCTGGTAGCTGTGAAGTTGGGGTGGATGTCAGGGGTTATTGTAGATGTGAACAGCGTGTGGGGGGACTCTGAAAGCAGCTGTAGGGGGAGTGGGGATGGCCAAGACGGGCGGGGTTGGCCTTGAAAGCACTGGGGTGAATGTGAGGTTGGAGGTGCATGCTAAAAACCATTCTCCAAACAAGAGTTAACTTCTGGAACTGACCAGACGGTTGACATACGTTGGGCCCTCACGGACCCCAGAAGTGCAGAGGACAGACACCCAGTTTCGCATGCCCCGGACGCGGCTGCAGCTCTTCCTCCCCATCAAGAACAAAGCGGGTTCCCTCTCCAGGTGGGAACAAAGCTGACTTCAAGAGAGAAAGGCTCACACGGAAGAGAGGGCTGGTTGGAAAACTCAGCCAAACAGTTCTCCTCCAGCTAACAAGTGTCCTTCACGCTAGCATGCTGGTCCTGCCATGAGCGCCCCGCAAGAGACTGGACAAGCCACAGAGCTGACGGTGCTCCAGGCAGCTCTGGAAGGACACTGCCCTGAATGTCCCCTCTCCTCCGTACTGCCCACACTTCACTGCTACCTGGAGGCTTTACGACCCACACGGGTCACAGTTAAAAGGCCAAAAATTGAAAAATGACAGAAGGTACATTTTCAATAACCAAACTTGTTCAACTATATTACTGACCGATCGATCTATCTACCTACCTATCCATCTGTCCACACACACACACATACGAGAGGCCTTCGGAAAGTGTGTGGGAAAATGAAATCGGAACGTAACGGAATTTTCCTATGAAATGTTTGCAGTCTCTATCTGTATACACACAGGGGTGGGAGGAGGGGGAGAGGGGTGGAAGAGAGGAAGGAGGGGAGATACAGAAGGGAGAGGGATGGTATGAAATCTGATTATCTCAGATGAAAGACTATTTTCTTCTCTGTGCAATTTTGGCACTTTCCAAAAACTCTCTAAGAAAATGCTTTCTTATTATGAAAAGTAAAAGGGTGGGGGAGGTGCGGGAATGAAAAGCAGGAGAAAACATGCAAAAAAAACCCCAGAAACTGAAACTCTTCACAGAAACGGAGAAACGTGTTGTTTAAATTGGTGACCTGTGCGTTTCTGTTGATAGTGTTAACATTCACCACAAACAGAGATTTCACTACGTGTGTTTTGACAGGGATTTTTTTTAACAGTTCTTTAGTGTTGTCTCCCTTAGCTTCGAGAAAGCCTGTGGTTGGGAAACACCCTCGATTAACTTAGGATCCACCTGACGCCCTGGTGGCGCTGTCAGGTAAGCAGGGGGTGCACCCAGATGTGGGGAAGGGGGTGAAGACAGGTGAACCAGGTAGTGGAGAGGCAGCAGGAGAGGTAGAGTGCGCAGTGTAAGCAATAGGGATGGTCCCTCAGCACGAGCCCGGCCCGCAGGGCCTATGGAAGTGAGGGACCGGGAGGACATTTAAGGCTGCATTCTAGGAAGCGCGAGGCGCCCTGGTGGCAGAGTGGTTATGTGCTGGGCTGCTAACTGCAAGGCCAGCGGTTTGAAACCACAAGCCACGCCATGGGACAAAGACAGGGCTTTCTACTCCTGCCAAGAGTAAACAGTCTTGGAAACACACAGGGGTGGTTCCACCCTGTCCTGTGGGGCCCCTAGAAGGCAGCCTCGACCCGAGGCCAGCTAGTGAGGTTCTGGGGCTCTGCGAGCTGGTGGCACAGGAGCAGGGAGGTAGAGAGGCACACAACGGCACCCTCCACAGGTCAGAAAGGAGGTGACCGCAGCTTTGCCACACTTGTTGCAGGGGCACACTCCACAGCTCAGAGAGACACTACAGGGAAGGGAGCCTCCTTCACCTACGGGGCTGCCAGCAATGAGGGGGCCCCACAGTGAGCCCAGTGTGGCCACGGATCATGTGCCAGGGTGGCTGGCGTGTTCACCCTGTCTGTCAGGGAACAGAGGAAGGAATGGGCTGGACACACGGGGTCCTCAGGGGTGCTGGGGCTGATTCCACTTGGGGAGATAGGCAGGGCTTGCCCTGACAGAGGGTGGGAGCTAGGGCAGAAGGGGAGAGCAGACATGGGAAACCGAGGCACAAGGGGTGGGGCTGAGCTGTGCCAGCCGGAGGCCCAGGGAACAAACTGCTCGCCCCGAGGGAGACTGAGGAGCTGCCCTCGGCCTGCCTTGCTGTGGAGGTTACACAAGTTCATGTCAACTGGAGCGTAGAATGCAGGGGCGGAGTCTAGCCTGTCAATCAGATCACAACCTGACCATCCCTCCTTGTGTGCATGGCCTTCTCATGAGGATTCTGGGAACTCCCTCTCTCTGCTACACATTCCTGTTGACAAACCACATAGAGCCACGCCGACGGCAGCCAGAGCCCTGGAGATGCTCCACTGCCATTGGAACCACAGGATTTCCACCCACCGACCTGTGATCTTCCTTCATGTGCTGGGCGCATCTGAAGAGGAATTCGTGAGCTAATATTGGACTTACGGGGTAATCTCGAACTTCTGGACTTGATCTGTACTGGACTGGAAGGTTTTATTCATGCACAATTATTTCTTGACATAAAATTCTCTCTTACACATGTATGAGTGTCAATAAATTAGTTTCTCTAGTCAACCCAGTCTAACACACTGGCTATATCTTGCTAACCTCCACTGCCTCTCAGGCCTCCTCCCTGGAGACCATGCTGGATGCCATAGCAGAGCCAAGGAGGCTCCCGAGCTTGGCGCCGGCATCAGGGCCGAGTCTGTAGGTGAAATGGGAAGCCCGCAGGCCCCAGTGTCTGTGCCCGACACACCCAGGGTCCACCTCCTTGAAGGTCTCACTGGGCAGACCCTACCAGAGCCCTCCATGCCCCGCCACGCACCCCTGGTCCCACGTAGGGCCCTCTGTTCTTACCTGGCTGCTTCACGGTGACTTCTGTGCGCCCCGAAACCTCCTCGGCCAGCTTATACCAGGCATAGTTGGGGCTCAGCAGCCACTCCTCCACGTGGCAGTAGTAGCTGCCGCTGTCACTGACCTCGGCCCTCTGGACAGTGAGGCTGAACAGGCCCCCCGACGCGTGCCTCTCAAACTGGAGGCGCCCACGCAGGCCCTCCTCCTCGGCGTAGGTGCCATACTCGAAGGCCGAGTTGTGGGTGGTCTTGAGGATGAGCTTGCCGTCGGCGTCGGAGGGCTTGTGCACGTACCAGAGCACGGCGAAGTGGGAGTTCTGGCTGGTCTGCGCCTTGACCGAGCAGTTCAGCTGAATGGGCCTGTTTTCCACCAGCGTGAGGGTCCGCTTGGACTTGCTCACCTGCAGCTTCGTCACTGCGGAGGAGAGGGGCCGTGAGCATGAGAAACCCACACTCCTGGACCCGTGCCCCTCCCTCAGGCCCCTGCCAGGCCAGGCTCCCGGCCTGGTTTTGGCCAGAGGAATCCCAGAGGGCTGAGCAACAATGGCTGGCCCCCCAAACAGGCCGGGCCAGAGGAGAGCTGTCAAGAGTCATTTTGCCCCAGTAGCCCTCCTGTCTCTTGTCGCATGTGGTGGCACCCCTGGCTGGTGCCAGCCCTCGCCTCCCACCTGCAGAATTCCTACCACGGTCCGCCACCATGCAGTGGCCGGCTAGGTAATGGGGCTGAACCACACACCTGACCACACCTTTGCCTGCAGAAGAGAGAGAAGGCGGTGTCCTCTCACAGCAGCAAGTGCTTCTGGCCAACCTGGGTCTTAGACAGCTGTTGACCATCACCTCCCTGGAGCCCCCATGATGTTCTCTCTCAGCCTTAGACCTGTGGTCCCACCCTGCCGTCCTTTCTGCCTGGCCACCACTCACCCTCTGGTCCCCGATGGGCTCGCTGCCCCTGCCCTGTGCTTTCCTCGGCACCCACTCTCTCATCAGGCTCTCTCCACCAGGCTGCTTCCTGCCCTTCTCTCTCTCTCTTCCACTCGTCTCCCATAAGCTCCCTGAGAGTACACTGAGCATCCTCTCTCCTCCACTCAATCGCCAATATTTACAAAGTGCCCACTCTGTGCTCCGTGCAGTACTGCATGCAAGGGGTATTGTCAAGGTGGTAGCCCCAGCCCCAGCCCAGCCCCAGCGGAGTGTCCAGCCCAGGGGGCACATTCATTACCACACCCCCCGAGCGTGGGGCAGGGCCTGGACTTGGGAAAGTGCTCAGTCGATGTTTGCTGAAATATCAGGGTGAGCAGGGGAGGGTCTGAGAGAGTGCTGAGGTGGGGTTGTTAGCACTGGTTGGCTACCTCGGGGCCAGTCCCTGACTCATGGGGACCTGCTGCACCGTGAGCAACTCCCTGCTCGGGCCCACGTCAGCCTGGCCACAGGCTGTGGCTCAGGCGGTTGACTTTTCCAGGTTTCCGCTGGCTGGTTTGGGGAACTAGATCAGCGGGTCGTATTTCATAGTCTGTCTTAGTCTCCAGTGAGACTTGTCCAGCATCATACCAACAGCAGGTAACTAAGAGGGTGCTGGGGCAGAGCCCTGGATGCAGAAAGAGGGAGAAGGCTGAGCAGGTGACAAACAATCGGACAGAACGGGGCCAACTCCAGTCACCTCCTGCCTGCTATGAAGGGCTCCGTTCACCTGGAAGGCGGCAAGAAGCCACGGTCTTATGAAATCTATCTATCTTATGGAGGTCATCTGAGAGCTCGCTCACTCCATCACCATCAAACTTGGTTCTGCTTTTCCCGACCCACCCTCCTCCCCTCTAGTGGGGGGAAGAAAGCACTCTCAGCTCTGCAGGGAACGGGGAGCCAATGGTCATTCTCTCTACCCTTTCACGCACAGGGTGAAAGCAGCACAGGTCAGGGGACAAACTCCACAGGGACAGACCAGACCCGGGCGGGCAGCAGGGCAGGCTTGCCCCAGCTCAGGCTGGAGCTTGGCTTCAGGGCCAGGAGCTGAACAGAGCCTGGGCCTCTCCTGGCAGCAGACTGAGCCCGGTGTGGACGGACAGCAGGCAGCATTGAATCTCGGGCACCAAACACTGCCACGTGGCCCCCTGGCAACACGACTCCATGTGGGAGTTCAGTATCCGAAGGTGGGGCAGGTGCAGACGCCTGACTCCATGACAGTAAGCAGCTCACGGAGGGCACCTCTCCAGGCGGGTCATCAGGCCACATTCTTTCTCCATGACGGCCGAATTCCCTCCCCTGTTACAAACCCACCCTTGTGCTCACAGTGACTTTACCGGACAGACCAGAGGGTCTCTGAGAAGACAGGCTCATGATCTTTACGGAGGAAGACCCCCACAGGCCCAGCCCTAGTCCCCGCGGGGCACCACCCGAGCTGCTGCGTGTGCTCGCAGACCTTCGCAAGCCACAGGCATGCACTCCATGCCCCCCCTCCACCCCCCCCAGCTCCGTCTTTTCCAAGGACAAGCTTGGTCGTCTGCTTTCTCCGTTCTGCACACGCCGAAAGCCACTTGGGGCACACGGCGGATCCGGGGCAGCTTCAGCCTTAAGGTCCCAGGCTCTGGAGACTACACTCACGTTAGCTTGCCCACGGACTTTTCCGGATCAGGGTCCCCTAACACCTGAACACAAGCGGTCCCGTTTCATTGCTTTCTAACCTGATTTACCCCAGGCAAATGGGATCAGGGAAGACACCCCCGAATGATCTGGTTCTTGGCCAAATAAAAAAAAAAGCACCCCCCAAACTGGGTTGTCGGGTGTAGAGTAGAAAGAGCTTTAAAATGTATTATTAATTGGGGCCAGATTATTTTTTGCAACTGTTACTAAGGAAACCTCAATTGCTATAGTAACCGCATATGTTGAGCTGGAATCCTGTGACTCAACTTCAGTTCAGTCACGTGGTTCCAGAGCAGGCATCCAAGAAAGAGAAATGTCTCAACGCCAGCTCCTTCTTTTTTCTCTCTCCCCCCCCCTCCCTTCTCTCTTCCCATGTCAAAATATTGTGAAGTGCGGAGCCGCTTGAAAGAAGACATTTTTGAAAAATGAGGAGCGTGTCTGACAGGTGGGCAAGGGGTCACCTCCTGCTGGAAGCTCTGCATTTCTCCTCACCTCTCAAGGGCTGGGACGACCTTTCCGGAAGCTTGTGGGAGACCAGGCAGAGGCTGCACATCTAATTAGGAAGCACTCTTGCGATCCCGCCACACTACTGCCCCGGGCGGTGGGCGCCCAGCCCCAGCCCCTTCAGTGATATAGGTGTTGTCACCTGTCAAGGGAGGAAGCTACCTACCACCCCGGAGTGTGGTCACTGTCCAAAGTCAGAACCTCTAGAAAGAGTTTAGCACAGAGCCCAGCTTACAACACACACACACACACACACACACTGTAGTCTCACCATCCTCATTCCCTCTTGGTTGCTGTGCCTGGTTCCAAGTCAAGACACAAGGATGGATGGATGGATGGATGGATGGATGGATGGATGGATGGATGGATGATTGGTCATCAGCTGATGACCCCTCGTGGCATCTGGGGGCCAGCAGCCAGCTAGCACTGGGACTCACTGGAAGGGCAGGCTCTTAGGCCCTTTTAATGAGCTCCCCGTGATGTCTGAGGGTGCTAAAGCCGGATGTGGCCTGCACTTGACTGAGGACGGACATCTCAGGCGGTGAGTGAAGAGGCCGCATCTGGGTTACTCCAGCTCTCAGCGTGACTCGTAGGAGGGAGAGAGGCAGGAGGAAAGGTCAGAGAGGCTTTCGGAGGATGGCCCACTTTCTGGAGGAGCCCGGGCTCAGGCCAGCACGTACCTCTGAGCCTGGGTGCACCTAGAGTCAGGCTGCACCCCTTCCGTGGATGTGGGCTCCACCCCCTGCCTTGTAGCACCAATATCTCAAAGGTCTCGTTCCTGGGCTTTGGATCAAAACGTGGCGTGTGGAGGGGCTTTTCTGCTGTGCCTATTTTGAGTCATATCTGTTGTCCGGTGAAGATACACACATCACAGGCTCCCCCCAACAGCGTCTGCACAGAGTGGTCAGGGTTGACCGCATCACAGGCTCCCCCCCAGCAGCGTCTGCACAGAGCGTCAGGGGTTGACCGTCTCATTCTTTTTTCTGGCTGTATCATGCCCACTAATTTAGTCTCCCTCCTCCCTCATATCCTCAAGGAGCCCTGGTGGCACAGCAGGGTAGGAGGTGGGCTGCTAAACCACAAGGTCAGAGGTTCAAAGCCACCCACAGCTCTGTGGGAAAACTACGAGACCATCGGCCTGCATCAAAACTTACGTCCTGTAGGGTTGCTGTGAGTCAGAATAGACCAGCAGCAGTGGGTTTGGTGAGGTTACATTTTCATCTTTGTTTCAAGGTAAACTACAGTTTGATCTCACATAGGTGTTTTTGGCAACTGTGAGAGTTACTTAATTGCATGTCAACTTTCAGGGTAGGCATGGAGTCTAGTCTATCCATCAGGTCAAAGTCTGATGGCACCTCCTTGTGGGCGTGACCTCCTCGTAAGGAGGGTGCTGGGAACCTCCTCGTTTCCCTGCCTTCACCCTCCTGTAGATGCCATGTGGAGACCTGCAAGAGCCCTGGAGATGTGTCCACTGCCACTGGGTCCACAAGACTGCACCCACCAGCCAGTGATGTTCCTGCGTTTTTGCATCATTGCATGTGCTGTATGAGTCTGACGAGGGGCTACAGACCAGTGCTGGACTTAAGGACGTGAGCTGGACTGGGCCGGGAAGCCTTCTTGATAGACAGTTACTTCTTGATGTGAAGCTTTTTCTTATACACCAATGAGGACCACTGGATTTATTTCTCTAGTCAACCCAGCCTAACACAGGAACCCAGTTCTCACAGACTTTATTTTTTGAGCCGATTTGTTATTTAGTGTTAGGTGACTTTTGGCTAGTTTCAGCTCATGGTCTGAGAAGCAGCCTTTTGAGTGTTTTTCGCTCTCAAAATTAATTTATTTCACCAATAAACAATTTCCTTAAACTCTGCTATAGTTTTGTTTCATTTTGCCTTATGCTACAGTTAATGTTTTAGGGGTCTTGCCTTTCCCACTAAACTGCTAGGGCCTTAAGAGAAAGAAAGATTCACCTGATAATTAAATTTTGAATGTGTGTCACTCATTTCCCCACTGCAGGGAGACAAGGATTTTCCCCAATGTGATTAGTGTTCTAAATCACCCAACTTTCAGAAATCCAGGTCTGCTCTGATTTTGTTTTGTTGGCCATGACTGAACTGCTTGTTACCGATTTGAAGCCCTGAAACAAACGAGTAAACGGATGATTGAATATGCACGTGACTCGGTCCCTGGGTTTGCAACTGGACACTAACTAGCTGAAGGGCTTGGTGGTTGGAGTCCACCCAGAAGTGGCCCGGGAGAAACTAGCTCTGTAAGATC